CTTCATCCGGCACGACTGGAGCAAATTCCATTCGTTGAACGCCATCGCCAACTGCAATTCTCACTGACAGATCTATTGAACCAGGCACAGAACGATCCGCAGTTTTTCGCCGATCACGGATCTAGCCAGTCGACAAACCAAGCAACTGACCTGCTTTTTACTGATCTCCCAAACGGCAGCCCTACCAGTCTTGTTGCCAACCCCGTCTTTCAAGCCGCCTACGATGCATCTGCTCTGAGTTTTCCGGACAAAATTTTCCGACTGGTACAAGATTTACGGATGTTGTCCGAGAAATCACTGCTACTCTACTCGAATTTAAATGCTCAACATAGTGCGATTGAGGGCATTTCCGAACGACTTTTCCCTGTCATCGACGTTCTATTTGCAATAGCTGAGAGGTGCCGTGCCTTGCCGGAACTCCGTGTTTTCTGGTTGATACAGATGGCTGAGCAGCATTATGGGGTAAGTCAAGTGCTGTGGTACTTTGGATATAGGCAAATTATAGACGTCGCATACACTCCTCGGAGGATGTGCTATCTGTATCCGGTTTTCATTTGTACACACACACACACTGTGCTGAAGAATTCTACCGTTTTATCTGACACTTGGGAATTCATCGAATCTTCATTCTCAGAAATTATACGTGTGTATGAGTGAACACCATTCTGCCGCTCTATTTAATTTATGAGTGGATGAGGGCGAGCCAGTCGTTAGTTTGGCTTTCATCAACTTGCAGCCTCTCCCATTCATTAGTGGAAGAGCAACGTGTCTACCATGTACCGTGCGCCGCCTCAGTCTCACTGATGGGAATTCATGATGGCAAGGCGCCGCTTTCTATAGAGCTCCTCAATCCTTGCAGTTCTAGCTCGGCAACTTGGAGATATATCACTTCTGCTGGTTTCCTCAAGTTGAGACTAACCTTTAAAGACAAACTATATGTATATATATATGATACATTTATGCATTTTCTCATACATAGTGGCTTCTCAATGGACATTATCCATGGGACCTGACCAGAGTGGTCCCAATTTAGCTCCTTTTGGTTCCACACCAAAAATGCCGGCAAAAAACATATTGCAACTCCACAACACAGAGTTGTTCAAGAATATGCTTCACCAGGCCGCACCATATTTCAGTTGAGATATCACAATAAATTGTATGGACGTAATACTCTACTCATAAGGTTGCTGAAAAGTCTTCGACAGCCCGCGAGAGATTCAGCTGGGTTCCAAGTGAGTCTCGTATTACGTCTATCTACTAAGCTTAACTCTGCGTAGTGTGATGGGACTTGCAGAGGCATTAAGGGTTAGACAAGTCTGCTCTGCGTTTGGCAGTGCGATTCAAATGTAACCGAAACAGAATGCACATATTTCATAGTTTTCCATTCGGGAGACAGGTGAAAAGCCTTGTAGCTTCAGCACTTTTTGATACTGATGTAGTTGGTACTCGTTTGCACCCTGACATTAGTTGACCGCAGCCCAGCTACTAAGCTGAATGCTCACGATTTTACCCTCAAACTTCAGGAGTGTCTTGTTTCTCATGATTTGTTCAACCGAGGTGTTGTTCATTCAGGTTGACTAACAGCCAGAGAACTGAACACTTCCGGGTGTTTAAGCTCCCTAGTGTTAACTGGGAAAACTAAGCTAACCACTGCTGAGCCCAAAACGCATGGTAGATCTTGTCGTCTACTGTAATGCACGCGAGCCACAAAACTGCCTTCTCGCATGAAAAGTGAAGCTGCCATTCTCACAATGCAGAATCAGCATTGGGCGCCGGAGGTAACCAGTAGAAGTCGAATTGGCTTTGAACATCCAGCGTCACAACACCTGAACAGAAATCATGCAAAATAGTGTTTGTATTCTCCGACTTCTGAAAGGAAATGATGATCCCTGTTGGAGGATAACCATTCCAGTCTGGCAAAAATTTTCCGGCCCTTTTTGAGAGATTTTGAATCTCTACCATTAATCCAACGATGAATTTGCTGGGACCTGTACCAAAGGTCGTCTAGGAGTGAGGAACATGTTCTAGGTTATGTGCGACTTGAGTAATAAAAAATTAACTTAGCTCATAAAAAAGCGGTTTTGCATATCATATTATCTGACGCTGACACACAAAGACTGAAAGAAGCAATCACAGGAATTCGGCCCACTTCAAACTGGATCGTTCTTGGCTCAGAGGGAAATTCCACTACGTTTTGCATGAATATTCACCAAATGCTATGGGCCCTATTGCCACTGTTTTTATCAGCTTGTAAGCATCCCTTATCTGATACTCCACTCATTGTTTTCAGTATGTTTAGGAGTGTTTTTCTCTCAATTCATCGTGAACATTTAGTATTTTGTTTGAACTTATCCAAACTGCATGATCCTCATCAGCTTTCTGTCAATTTGACAGATGTCAGGGTTCGATGAAGCTGCCCAATGTCTGACTCACGCTGCTGCGATCATTGCGGAACACTTGGTCAATCGGAACCAGCTCCCAGACGGTTTCCCCACATTTGGATGTGCTGATATTTCGGAAGCTGTTGAGAACGTAAACGTTCTGGAGGAAAGTTGTGTCTGTGGTCCACTTGGGAGTGGCGTGATTGAGCCTTGCTGCCCTTCGCCTGCTTGGGTCCCTGAGCTTGTCGGTCCGGTAAACACGTTGGACACATCTTGGTACTTTTCTCCCGCAGGCTGGGCAGGCCTTGTTACCTGGGCAGCAGAGTCATTTGCCAAAGCAGGACGTCATGAGCTGGTTCCACGACTATATGCCAAACTAGTTCCTGTGCTGGAAGCCCTCAATCAGTACTCGCAGTTAAATGTGATTCATGGAAAAATCAAAGAGGCGTACACCACACTTGAGCAACACCAGGTAGGAATCAATTTGTAATTTGCAAGTGATGTTTAGTCCTGCAAGTGAAGCTAACCTATGCCAAAGAGGCGAGAAGCACTTTAGGCCGGTTTCGTCTTTATTGGGAATCATCAGCAGTGCGCATCTCCGCGAATTCCCGGCAATTCTTTTGAATACTTGACCGATTGTGCACAAGCGGTTGATCAGCAGTATGATGAACTCGTACTTAGAGAGGACAGAGTACTAATCAGGCCTCAACCACGTTAGCCACATCACGTGGTCACGCATTAACTGGCTGACGAGTGATAATTGCTCAGAAGAAGTTTCCCTCAGTCCAATTGGGGTTCAAGTAGAACATAAGGTTGATGGAAACTCGGGGACTGCGCCTGCCATTGATCCCAAAGAAGGGTGAGACCGATCGTGGGCTGTCGAATAGTTTTCACCAACCTTGTGAGTAGTTTCTTTTGTTAAGATTCCCTCATCTTGCGAAAGTATTTTTTCGCTGAGCTACCTGTGGTAGTAGTGTGAAGAGATATGGTGATTTTCAATTGAGATTTCGTCGTGATTGCCATCACCTTAACTGAAGACTGCTAAGCTTGCTCGCGCTACCGCCAGGTGTGTACTTTGTTTTTTACTTGCTCTTCCCTTGCCAGGCTGTTTCTATGCTCTTGTACCTGCGACATACTAAAGTTCTATATGCATCCCCTCATCTCATCTGCAGCGGAAAAGACGTCTCTTCAGTTCCTATTTCCGTATTGGATTTTACGGTGCGCTGTTCGGTACTAACGATGGAACCGAGTACATTTATAGGGAACCCCCGTTAACCAAGTTACCGGACATTACTTTGCGAATCAGAGTGAGTTATTTTTGTACTCCAGCCGGTTGCAGATTCCGATATTGAAAGTACACTTTGTGTTTACGACGTCACTTTGGGTTTTTGGAGGGTTTCGGGGAACTGAGCTCACCAAGCCACAATATTGATCAGTACACTATTGTATTGTAATTTCGACTGAAGGAGGGCAAACACGCGGAGTGCGAAGCCTCTGGACGGAAGTTTAGGCGATGAGTTTCGGGTAGTGAAGAAAATAGGCTACATCGAGAGCTAAGCTGGGAGCTGTTGAGCGCTAGAGAGCACATTAGGCGCTTCACCCTTATATGGTAGCTTTTACATCCATCGAAGCCTGTCACACTGAGAATTCGTGCGTTGGCTGCGGTCTCTGTTGTCAGATAACTGTATTCTGGGATGATAGCTTCATGTTTTAGTCATGTCATTAAATGAGGCCTGATCTTTGAAATAAACAGGAGTATTTTTTATCTTAGGTAGATCGGACACCATTAGCAAAGAATTTCAAGTTCATATGCCTTGGGGGGGACCAAGAAGGCTATTATCTAACCCGTCCTGCAAACGGATAGGTGCGCAGAGGACAATTTTGAAATCAATAGGTAAGTGGATTAGTAGGGCACACGTGCAAAAGCTGGTCCCACTCGCTGCGTACACAGTAGTATGAGAATGGCTTACAATATATCCAAACTAACTACAGGATCAACGGTGGTCTTCGGTTGGATTTGAACTCGTTAGATTTTAATGGAAATTTCCGTCCAGACTGTATGAGTGCATTAGCGTAATGAACTGATGTAATGGTCATCAGATGCTGTCACCTGTGTCATTATAGGTGAGAAATGTTTGTGCTTTATAAACAGCATATGGTCGTTTTAGAGATGTACTCGGTACAGAGCTATTCAGACTGAAGTTTATTGATTGAGGGCATTGTTATTTGGATATTTCTAATTTAGGATCAAATAGACAGTTTTGGAACCAGAGTGGAAACCATAGTGAATAGCTCAGCCATGGGAGCCTCTCGCCCTTAATGAGATTCATCAGGCCTAGGCCGGTGGAATCAATCAACTATAAGCTGATATCCTAGGTTTGATAGTTCAGCCAAACAGTCTTCGCCAGTTCTTAGGTTCTTTAGAGGAAAGCGTATTTCTCGTCTTAAATGTTTCTGTCGAGTGCTTTTTCGAGGGGACGAGATTGCAGTTGCAGATCGAAAATTGTCTAACCAGATGTTATTCACTCTAGATAGAGCTTCAATCTATAAGGGTAGACTCACTGTCTTTTCTCGTTCGATCCTTATCTGACCAGTTGCCATTTTTGTGCACGGTCACTTAGATCACTTGTCTTTGCCTTAATGTTATGGGGATGGTTATCGACACTGGATCACCCCATCGGGAAGCCGCAAGGAAAGTAATGAAACAAACACGTTGCCTTGTGGAATTTTACGTTGTCTTTTGTCCCAGAGATTGGTTTTGCGTGCGCACAGGTTGACCTTTCCTTTAGAGATGGGCATTCTGGTCCTTCCCACCTGCCCAGTCAAATGGATGCGTTTGATTTTCAGGTATGACACTGTTGTTTACGGGCGATGCACATGAAGTAAACATTTATTTAAGCTCGCGGAACCCTGCTTTCTTCTATGCAACCTACATTTCATACTTCGAAGCGTACATCAGTTGCCGTAACCTTTATGTCGTCAGGCACTTTCCATTGTTATTGATGTGAAATGCCGGAATACCGAAACTGTTTGTCGTGTGCGTCGAATGAATACACAACAAACCTGGACTAGGTGGTCTTTTTCTGGTTCACATGTACTTACACTGTGTATGTGTGATCCGCCAAGATAGTCGGTAGGTTTAGTGTCTTTGGGCCTGTTTTTTTACACAGATATGTGAAAGTCGAATCCAGTCTCAACTGTTCTTCAACCCATTTATTCTTCTTATTTTTTCCAGGACTACTATGCCAAAAAGTTTGGTGAGGAGCAGGTGGTTGTGTTAAAGGACGCAAACGTTGTTGATACCAGTACACTGGATCCAGACAAAGTGAGCTTTTATCTTCTTTCAGATGAGTATTTTGGTATATGTTCATAGCTCTGTAATCTTTCGCCATATTTTCAATATGTGACTGTTTGTTCTACGTTGAACTAAGCATCCGTTGACCCAGTTGGCCCAGGTCTGTTGCTCATGGTAATACTGTGTCCAAGCCTTTGTCTTCAGTGCATTCTGTCCCTTGTTAGTCTTCGTAACCACAACAAACCAAGCACATAATCAATTATGGTTGACTACGTTAGAACCAAGCCTCTTATGCATAAATAAAATTAATGACACTCGTTCAGCTGTTACATGCTTTCGGTGCATAGCTGTCATTTTACCCGAAGGAAGAATGAAGACGAGTTGCCCAAGCCTATGCAGGAGCAGGTGGGATGCAGAGGTTGGCTTCGAACCACGGAACTTCCGGTCAATAATTGCGTGCGTTCACCATGGAGCTATCTCCAAATCTTATGCATACCAGTCTTTCCTTCGAAAATCTTCCCCTTCTTGCCGGAAGGCCATCAGCTCGAACAGAAGTAGATTTTTTGGGATTAGCGTCGATAACCGGATAGATTTTTTTTACCACTTTTGAAAACCCTAACGGTCTCGCCGACATCAGTGACTCCAAACCGGCCATTTATAGTCAGTATAGGCTGGAATGCACATTGCAGAATTTGGAGGATTACGTATCGGATGGATCGACAAAAGAGACAATTGGCAGCGAATAATGGCGAATAATGAGCGAAGGCTTGACGTGGGTGTGCAATTTAACCAAGGCAAAATATATTATTCATACTAAAGTTTGAAATTGAGACCTGACAGTATGGCCAGAGTTCGGTTAGGCACGGACATCGGTTAACCTCACTTGCATTGGGTGTGCAACGACTTTTCGAAAGTGTAGGGGCTGTTTATTGTTTTGGAATTGTCACTTTATCAGTGTTCTACGTACGCAAGTGAACGATGGCACACTTAGATGGGCGCCACATAACCATTCATGAGTCCTGCCTTATCTTCGTTCAAATCTGGCATTCAGTCAGTTTTTTGTGCACGCCACAACCTTTTTTGCTCAAGCTGACAGTGCAGAAAGTCAACTTTTCGAATTTTGTCAGCTGTTTTCCATAGAAAAATGACCTACCGACGGCAGATCAATTAATCATTGGTAAGCCAATTTTGTTCGTTCCTTGGATTACCGGTTGTCTTGTGAAGCTCTTTCGACCTGCCAAAATGTGAGTGGAATTGACCAGTTCGCGATCCAAACCATGGGGAAAGTGCGGACTGGAGGCTCTTTGGCGGTACACACTTGGCTTCCTTCTTTTTTAGTTCTATACTTTTGTCCGTTGTTCCACATGGGTAACAAGTGAAGTTACCGGAAGTTACCGAAGTGGTCCAAATCAGGATGTGGGCTCCATTGATGGAAATCACCAAGGTTCCCGGTGTGAATAGAGCAGAAGGCGTAGAACGGGCAAGCTTGTGGAGAAAAGTTCTAGATCAGTTGATTTGAGGCGCTGTGGGTTGCGGTTATCAGCAAAGAGCAGTCACCAACATGTGTACCTTAGATCTGAGTGGCATAAACCAGGCCAGCCAAAAGTGCAGGCCCGCACCCCAACCAAATTGCCGTAGCACTTGCAAACCCCTACTAACCAACATCATTTACCAAGGAGAATAAACAACTGAATCCCTTTGAACCAGGGAATCAAGGACTCAAACAAGATAAAAACAATCGTTTCAGGAGGGATTGGTAAACAATCGGCAGTTTTCAATCAATTGGGAAATGGTTGGGACCGATTGGGAAGTCATCGTTTCAGAGGGGGTTGTAAACAATCGGCAGTTTTCAATCAATTGGGAAATGGTTGGGACCGATTGGGAAGTCATCGTTTCAGAGGGGTTTGGTAAACATCGGTGGATTTTATTGCTGGGCAACGTTTCGTTTTTGACACAAAAGCTTCGTCAGGCCAAGTGAGTAAGTAAGTAGGTTGATTGGGTTTTAAGGCAGTCAGGGAACCAATCCGTGAGATTCCTTATGACTAGTGACGTGATCAGTGCTGGGTGTTCAGTCTGATGTCCCTGTTTGTTGATTAGTGGGGATGACTAAGCTTTATGATAGATCGGTTAGGGGTGTTCGTCTTTATGATGAACCCGGATTTTTTTCGTCCCTGCTTCTTCAGTCTAGGACACCTTAATGGAAAATTCCTCTTGGGGTCGTTCACAGATTTCGTTCACCTGTGTTCGTCCAAGGGTGCTGGGACAATTAGTTTGGGGATGGGGGTGGGCTGATTAATTGGATCTAACGCTACTGTTTGCAAGTTCTACCCCCTCTATTCTATTCACACTGGGATGCTTGGTGATTTCCACCGCCTCGGTCACCAGTCGCTGTGGTGTGAATCTTAAACCCCGTCTCAGGATGTCGGCAGTTTTCTATTTGGGCAACGTTTCACTTTTGACACAAGGCTTCATCAGGTCAAGTGAACAGGTCACCAGGTTGACCAGGTCACCAAGTTGACCGGGTTTTAAGGTAGACGGAGAACCTCTTCATATTAGCGCTTTGACATTTGAGATTTTGACAACCACACTAACCGACTAGAGCCGTTAATTGACACTCAAAACTGATCGAGTACGCTTATATGAAAAGGTCTTACTAATTGGTTCTCCGTTTGTCTTAAAACTTGGCCAACTTCGCAACACACTCACTTGCCTGACAGAGCTCTGGTATCAAACGCTGAGCTTTGTCCAGCTGTACAACCACCGGTTGTTTGCAAATAGTTTTGAAACGATGGTGGTACTCTATCCACATTTGATCTCCGTAGTGCACTTCACTCAGTAGAACAAACATTGACGTTTTTCCAAATTTTTATAGACATTTGTGTGCAATTTGTGTAATTTTCCGGAAGCGCGATATACAGCTCTCCCTCTCTCCAACACTAATCTTCGGATTATTAGGCGTTTTAGCAAGCAGTCATATAAGCTACCACAATATTTATTCGATCATTCCACTTTTCGTAGCTGTTCTTTCTTTCCCCAATGGCAGACGTCTGTGGACTGACTCCATAGATTGTACACCATTATGTGTTCGGCATAAGGTGTGAATATATTTGCATGGTTTTGGAGCATACCTCTTTCCGGCTACGTCATCCATAGTACAGCAGTGCCAATGCAGGCTTCTCATCAGGTTTTCCAGCCACTGTCCATAACTAATCGGTTTAGTCGGACAGATTGCCGAACCGCAATCAAGTTGTCAATTTTGCGTGCAGAGCGCTAAAAGTGATCAAAGTCTAAATGAGCCGATGTCGATTCTCCTGGTCGTTCGTCAAGAACTTATTTGGTGAGCGTTTCGACTGTCAGCATTCCGGCGTACTTTTGTTGGGTGTATTGAAACGAGACAGAGTAAAATTGTCGGTGTGTCTTCCAGGCCATCATCCCGTACTTTTGACAGTAATTGCCTGAATGGATTGACACACTCACGTCAAATTGGCTGTAGACTTTAATTATCAACCCTCTTACTGAAGATATGAAGCAACCATTGTCTGAGTCTCCCTGCCAATAATGTCAAACGTAGACTTCGGTCACGCCACGCTAATCAACTTCATCCCAACGATCGTTCGCAGAATGTTACTTGCTCCATTAAATTTTGCGACACATCACTGTCATTATCCCTGCCTGCGTTTGGAGGAAGCTAGCTAAAACCAGTCAGTTTTATCACCATAGTCATCGCCGATGGAACAAAGTTGGCGTTATTGCCATCTGCATATCTGGTAGATATGGTATGAAAATACTGTCACTGTTTCATCAGAGTTTGTTTCCTGCTCCGCGGAACTCAAGAGCCCTGCTTTAGTTATTTCGTAGTATGGACAGCTCGACCGTGCAAAACCGCAAAAACCTGCATAGATCACTCAGTCACCAGCAGCACCACATCCTTCCTATTCGTGATCAGTTTCACTCATTACATACCTGCTTATTTACTTTTTATGGCACCAGCGGACATATGTCATGTGTATATTTCGAGGACATCGATTCATCGTACTTGTGCATAGTAGACCAACAACTATTGTCTTTTAGCATCATTGATGTATCCCTTAGATGGCTTCCCTTTATAAAAGTAACGCAATCCAAGGGTGCTTCGTCTAGGCCCGGAAGCACTAGCAGTTGGAATCCTACGATTTCCGATCGACTGACCGCCATTGTGTTCAACCCGCACATTTATCCGCCGCCCACAGAAACATCTCCTGATGTTAACTAGATCGAACTGTGCTTTTGATGTTCTCAGGGCCGGGAAAGAAACGTTTGGTCATCAATATCTCAGTGAAAGGAGGAAAGCTGCGAGCTTATTCATCAGCAAGCATGAACCGAACGAAAGCAAACATCTCGTTTGTACAGATGTTTTGAAAAGTGAACATTCCCAAACGTCTTCCTGGACTTTCCTGGACGTCATTTGTATAATTACCGAATATAATCGAAAACTGAGAAGATGCTCCATATATTCTCTGGTAAACTTCACCTTGCGTCACCTATGTGGACCGAACCTGGCACCGAACATTAGATTACTTGAATGCTTCAGCATTAGTATGCACTAGTAGTTGCACTAATAAGCAAGTCAAATCGTATAACTGAATTGGACGAACCACGCTCCTTTATGTGAACACCACACTTGTGTGTTTGTCGGACGCATATCTTGCACTGAGTGATCGGATCCTTCATGAAGATCTCTGATCAGCCAAATTGAAACCACTGAGCAGCCACGAGTGGGCAGGCGTTCGCCTTGGCGGATGGCGCATTCTGCGCAACATGTAGTCTATTTTTCACCTTTCTGGATTAATTCATTATCTATCTCTTCCATTTCAGGTGTATTTACAAATTACCTATGTGGAACCCCACTTTGATGAACACGAACTTCGCCAGAGATCCACAGAAGCACAGCGCAACTACATGCTGAGTAAGACCGCTCTTACCAAGCTATACTATACCTTCACTTAGTTTATATTTGCATTCTGGTTTGCCAACGTATCACGTTCGGACGTTTTGTCTGCCAGGTTCCACACAAGCTTCCACTCTCCTACTGGTATCCACTGATTCAATTCTGATGTATTTAGATAAATTTTCTTGTGTCGCAGAAGATTAATCGCTCAGACGGTGGAACATTTTAGCTTGAGAAAATAATCCACTGGAACAAAAGTGCCATTTGTCTACTGTATGGGCAGGAGTTTTAAAGCCTGTTCTGATGTTGTGCGCCCATCCTCTGAAGGGGATGCCAAGTTTTCCGGATAATCTTAGGTTATGTTCGAATTCAATGTTTCTGTCCTACTAGAAGGCAGTAGTAATGAAGGGACCAATGACTTCGAGTGCGGAGCCGTTTATCGATAAACAGGAACTATGCGGTTACATGCAATCAGACACAGAGTTTTGAAAGAGTTAGCATCATCGAGCTTTTTCCTGAATTTTTCGGGGCGCTGTTTGAATGCCAAGCGATAATGAATAATTAATGCAAAGTGGTTCACTGATTTCTAAATCAACCGTCAATCAAATGCAAGGACAGCGCTTTAAGCTACTTGGCCGGATACCGCTTGTGGGTTCCGTCAGTAATATACAACACCTCAGTATCAGTAGGCGTCAACAGTAAAGTCTGTCGCTGTGTAGAAGGTAGGTTCTGTTCCAAAGGGAGCTATTATGATCATTTTGTCTCCGACGATAATTACTTAATCGCAGCGGCTGCAACGGACATTAGTTTTAGTTAGGCATTCCTCAGTAAACTGCTCTTATGACTTTAGTGTACCATACCCGGATTTTGAGAGTCCTCAGGAGCTCCATTCCATTCCTTTGAGTACCTGAGGTGATAGTGTTGGTTAGCTCTAATTTAAACAAACGCGTATTGACTAGCCAAGTAGTTGATTCCAGACGCCTTTACTATTCAACCGGACGGCGATCTAGATCAGATTCCATCTCATTCTACAGTTTTCCACAGGTAAATAAACTTCACGCCACCTAGCACCTTATTTACTTTACGTATCCTTTGGTTACTACTGGATTAAAGTTTATATGTATGAATTTGAATGATATGACTCGAATTTGAAAATTCCTTTGAAAGAAATCCTAGGCATGTAATCATCACCAGCAGTCATTATACTGTTGTGCATACTATAATTTGACGCGTGAATACGCGGATTTTAGTTCCCAGTGCGTGTGTATTTGTGACGCTGGTATGACATCCATGATCATGTGTGGATAGAAAAACTAGTACGTCTACCCCGCAACAGCAAAATGAACGCAGGCCGAGTTCCATAGCTTCGATTTGAAATTGTTTTTTGTCCAAATGTGTTTTTCCTTTCACAGAGCGTTTCGTCTACTCAATGCCATTCACACCTCGGAAGGGAGTGGCCCATGGTTCGCTTGCAGAACAGTACCAGCGTAAAGTCATCCTTACCACAGAACGCAATTTTCCTTATGTGAAATCTCGCCTGACCGTTGTCGCTTGTGAACATCGGATTCTATCGCCAATCGAAGTTGCCCATCTGGATGTGATTCGCCGCGTGCAACAGCTCGAGGAAGCGTTGAATTCCAACCCGATTGATATAAAATTCCTCCAGATGATTCTGCAGGTACAGTGTTTCTGGTTGTTCATGAGTACCTCGGGTATTTTGTTCCTTCCTGTTTCTAACCTAGATCACCTACAGTCGTGTGCAGCCAGTACGGTCTTCTGGACGTCAACCGTAACTGGGGATACCTGTCAACGGTGGCTAGACTACTGGATGCTTCCGCACGCTTATGATGCCGCAAGTGGTTTATGTGGAGCCGGGTGTGCCACGGTGGATGAACCTATGAATCTGTTGTCCCCCCGAAGGACTAAGATCGCTAATCTCCTCGCTAAAACACCACAAATCAAGCATATTTATGGGCTTTGGAGCTCTGCGTCTACTTGGTATTTATATGTTCATCGTGAGGTAGTTTGTGTTTTAGTTCTTTGTGAAGGTGAAGTGCTCATGAGTGTTTGACTTGAACTAACTGGTCCATGGCTATGGAAAGTGACGCAATTTTGGTTTCACAACTACAAGTTCTCTGTCCGACCCATCATACGGGAACTCCACTCGCTGTGTTGACTCAATCTTCTTGTTTGTCTATTTACCATCAAGATGCCTTACAATTAAATCTATCAAATCGCATGACTGTCGAAGCACCTTAGTTTACACCCTGATTAATTATTCCTCGTTCTCGTTCCATCAAAGGGATGTGTGGGCGCCGCAGTGAATCAAGGACCAGTGGAGGTCGCCACAACGTTTTTATCAGAGAAGGAAACAGACCCTGCGGAGCCGTTTGAGCTACCACAGTCGTCCACCATACTCACGCACCAGGCTTATATCGATGCACAGGAGAGTTTGCGGTTGTCTTTCCGACGGATGTTGGACAAGTATGTTTACTTCCATTTCGCCATTTAACCTTATTTGGAAAGCTGTGAACTTCCCATGTCACGTGCCATGTTTGCGTTTCTTGTGATTACTCCCCACGGTATGCACCAGACTGATATCGCTGCCCTGCTTGTCCTTCAGTACGTTCCCTATCTTGTTTTGGGCGATGTAACGAACCGGTAACGTCTAGCCAGTTTTAGCACCACCTTGAGGTCAATGGGGATCGTCTAGTCCCGTATTTCGGGATAAACAAGGGTTTGAATTATCGCCATCGAAATATACAACGTTTTGATCTCAGCTACTCTATTACCTACGTACGAGGGGATTAATCGGCTTCAAGCACGTGAAGTATCACTGCTGCTCGTGGTTGATCATCCGCATTGAGATCCGCACAGTTGTAAATGTGCGTTCGACGTTCCAGACAGACAGCAGGTCAAGTTTTTCAGCCATCGATTAAATAGTATAGCCACCCTTTCAGTTGACGTCCATAGCGGTCACGTCGAAATCCGCACAAAATCGGATTGTGAAGGTCTTCACCAACTGAATTCTGGGTCTCTACATGAACTTCCCAAACATTATACGATTGCGGCTGGCTGTAGACTGTCGAATCAGTGTGGCTTAACTTCCTCGTTTGTCCTCACATTCATGCAGGCGAAAAAGTTGAACGGAAACCTAAAAGACGTGGATTTCGGTTCCTGAGCTGTCGGCAACCTAGATGTTGTGAAGCCAGGGGCGCATTATTCTTGCACATGTGTGCTGCCGTGTTCATGACGATGTGATTGCATTCTGTAGTTTCCACTATACGATTGATGTGTGTTTAGGGGAACATTACCTTGTTGAGTTTCAGCTCATTGATACATTTGAGAGAAACCCACTCTAATTAAGGTCAGTCAACTGAACACACGGATACTTATAAGTGAAGTATGTGTAGTAAACCTCCTCGCATCACTGAATCGGTCTCAGAGAAGAGTTATTAGCAAGTCGTATTCTTGCTGTCTCCAGCTGATGGAGAAACAGCCTCGCTACTAAAATTAGCCATTTCCCATACGATCATTACAATCCTAATCACTCTCTGTGTTTCATATTTACACAGCTCCTATCGTGCTCTATGTATAAATCGTGAACTAATTGGACCGGATCAAGTGGAATATCAGCAAGCATTGGAAGAACAGTATGAGAACGTAAAACGAAAAATGGCTCATTTAATTCGTCTTCCAGTTGAAACTGAGACGGCAGCGCCGGAGCCAGCACAACCGGATGTGCCGGACACAAATGTGGTCGATGAAGCAGACCAACCTACCGAATAAGCACAGGTAGTTGGCGGCAATTGGGCTTCTTGAAGCGCTCGTTCAATTTTGCTGCAATCCTACGTGTACACATAATAACGCCCATCAATTTTCACGAAAGCAGCCGATTTCTTTCGTTTATTTTTTCTGCATTTGTCCTCTTAGCACATGTCTTTTTCCTGCTCACCTGCTTGATGCTGTGACTTTCACATTTTGCACCAGTTTTCTATATATTTCCTATTTTTTCTACCATGCAACTTTACTTCTGCGAAATTGTACACTGTATCCAGGCTGGGTCACCGCTATGATCTAGTGACAATCCTCGTTAGCTGTAACAGCCAAGGCTGCTTATGATTCAAGCGTAAATTCACTACAGGATTAGTTGCTTTGGAAACCGGTTGCTTTAATCCGCTTGCTGGAATGTCGGTTTACCATTTGCTGTAGGATGGGAAATCAGTTTTGAACTTGTGATTGAAACCCATACAGCAAACAGCTTACACCCGATTTCCATTGTATCACAAACTGCGCAACGTTGAGCTGCATTCCGATTGAACTATATGGGGCAGTTCATGAAGTCGTTACAACCGAAAATTACATTGAGCGTTCTCGATTGCCATTTCACTTGTGAAACGGAACTTCGTGATAGCATATAAAAACGGATACACGATGACTCTTGCTGCGAAATATCATAAATTCTCCCCTCTTTTTGTTCCAATAACGTGTTTGTAGTAAGATCTGCGAAGATCTGATGAACACAAACCAAGTAATATCGTTTTCAGCAAGTCTGACAAACGTAGCGTTGGCTGTCTTGTCCTCCACAGGCGTTCGAGTACTAATCTCCGTTCAATCCCGTGTACAGTGATCAACTGATCTGTGAAAATTCATGAATTATTTAGTTGAAGCAATTCAGTCTAATGGTAAAATCGATAAGCTGCCAGGTAACTTGGTCATACAACGTAGAACAGCTCTGTCGTTTCCGAAAGGTGAACTTTTCTAATCAATGAACAAAAGGGATGATTGATAGTGCGGGTATTTTTCAGCAGTGAGGCTTCATGCATTGTTAGACAGCACCGGCAACTCCTTACTTTTCCCTTGGCAAGTTAGTTTCAAATAGTCAGCTATGCTTAAGATATTCAGCATCTGCATTGGTAATTCGGCGGGTGCTATAAATTATGGAACTAGTTGGCCTGGATTCGGGAAAAAAACTTACGAATGACAAATTGGTGGGGAGCTTCCGTCAAGCATGTCTCTCACGTACACCCATAGTTGGATGCACCGGCCAACATTTGTCATGGATGAGCGGAGTAACAGTGGATAGAGCAATTCCTCCTTCGCGATATTCGCATGGTCCATGTCTAATGCTCTCATTAGTTTCTTAGACAAGTTCAATTGTTTTACTACCTTTGAAGTCTGCTAATGTTGAGTTGTCTTTATCCGCACATATTTAATGTGTACTGGACGCGTGTATTTTAAGAAAAATTGCGTCTGAACAGCACAAATTTTCCTTTGAAAAGTCATCGATGGAGGGACCATCAAACACCAAGTCACGTACATTGAATCTGCGCTTTTTAAATGTGGGAAGCGTTATATACTGTTCGAGTCCAAGTTAAACATCGCTTCATTGGTTTATTGTACCAAATCCCCATCCGGAGGGTTTGGGTTTTATATTTTTCTCGTAGGGTGTGCTTTGTTGATTATTCAGAACAGAAATTGAACGGCCACCAATTCATACGCTGTTCAGAGTGAGTCGACGATGTCCAGACTAATCACATCACCGATGTGCGTGTATGCATGTCGGATCTCGGTGGTCTACAATAATATACGGATTGAAATTCACCAGCTTCTACCTGACGGTGATTTATTATTCGATCGCTCAACAACCACGCCCTCCAGCGAGTTACTGAAGTCGGGTTTTGTGTTTTCGGTTTGTTTGGAATAACTTGGATGGCCACTGATTTCTGTTCCGGGAAACGCCGACAGCATTTCGTCACCATTCTCTTTTGAGTTAAGTTATCCCAAGGGGCTAATATGAATTTCTCGATTGTCCCCGTTTAATATGTTGCCAGATTTCCCTTTTTGGTTGTGTGCATGTAAGGTTGGAAGGCACTGAATGTGATCACATCATTCGTTTGAATGGACTGCGAATGTGAAGTGGGTAGCGATTTTTTGTGCTTCATTAGGTTCAGCTCTCTGAAAAAGCTTTTGAAAACAGCCAACTAGGCTTCATATACAACAACATTGTAAGATATGTAAGTGAAAAGCCGCGTACTCTAGATTCTTCTGATCCATTTATTCACCTGATTACTTCAGTTACAGGATGAAGCTTTGTGACCTACGACTGTCGGTTTCCTTATTTTGTGCGGTGGCGCAGCGAACACTACTAGTAATGCAGATTTTCCAACAGGAGAATGCTCCCTTGGAGTGGTTGCCCAATGTAGTCAGGGTAATCGAATGCTAAGTCACTGCGTGAAACCAACCTCGATCGATCGTTCAGCAAATCCGTGGTACCAGCAGAAGTCAATCCTGAATTTTGCTTACCGATACAGCTCCATCTAGGAATCTCTATGAGAAACTCTCAGTGATGGACAGACAGGAAGAGTGAATTAGTCGAACTAAATGCTACTGATGCGTGTAAAAATACCAATTCCGAACATAGCGGTCAGCCGGTGCAACTGCTGATTATGTGGGTGTCTGCTACTGTTTTTTACGGGTACTCTGTTGTCAGTGGAACAACTTGACTTATCCATTTCGCCAATGCGAACGATAGGCTGACTGCATGTCAAGTTCATGCCTGTCTCTTGCATGAAGTGGGACTCACTGTTGTTAGTTGATCATACCCTGAAATATCACAGAAACAATCCAAACGACGGTCGCGCGAGTTGCGCTGCGATCAACAATACGATGCGTTTGTACAAGCAAGGACTTTTGATTTTGTTACGTACGGCGTTGACTAAGATCATTACATACTGGCCCTGTGATTGCGCAAACACTCACGTCCAGGAGAACATCACTTTGAATTTCTCCGTTGTACACGATTCCCACAGAAGGGTCCAGAATGGAAATTTTATGCACATGATCAACTTGTATTACACAATCACTTGGGCTTCTCATTAAATATATTAAGAAAAATATGTTTTCCAATCGGTTGCTGAGTTTAAATCATGAAAGGCGTATGAATTCTCTGATCTTCTCTACAGGGAATCACTTTCAGAAGCTGCCTTCAGTGGTCAGTCTTCTTCAGTAAGAGTAGGTGTTTCTAAAAGAACCTCCAATAACCAGTCCCTTAAATGATTCGATGAGGTACGACCGTGGTGTACACCTTCCACTCTAAGGGAAAGTCTTCCAGGAACCTATTAAATGTGGCCTGTTGCGAGCAGTGTTGTCTTCTGGGTAATGAGGAAAAGCCATCGGAATTTGCGTATTTTTGGCTAATACTGCGTATCGTCATTCAATGGAATAACCTTTTTCGTTGAGACAGGTTTAACTGGTTGTTCTTTACTTGCCCTTGACAGATGAGTTCTCTTTTTAGCATCACGTTTTGTCCCGCTTCGAAGCTCCCATGTGAGCTTTATAAACAGCCCGTATTCGGCTGCAGATGACACACCTGTACGCGTTGGCGTTCAATAGATCAGCTGATTCGCAGGTTCATTGGCTTTCTGGTTTGGCTATCAAGCGGCTGTCCAGACTCGGGTTCAAGGTATTAAGAAGGCATTAGGAAAACTGTGGGCTAGAACAAAATATCACCTCAATGGATAGTCCGCAAAAATCTTCCATCAGCTACAGTGTACGGCGTGATTCCCTTAATGAGGGGTCACCAAAGTGGAAGTCTGTGTGCTCCTTTCATTCATGCTGGGACGTATGACTAGCGAACCTATCTTAATTAACAGTACCGTTATTCCCCTCTGAAAAGACTTCCTACACGGAGTGACCGCAATGACCGATTCCGTGTGATAGCATTTTCTGGAAGGGATTGCTTCATGAAGATTGGCTTCACAGAACCGACCGAGCCTTGTTCTCTCTGAAGATGATTAGATGAATGCAGAAAATGTTCGCGAATATCTGCGGTTGTTGCACAGGACTACAGAACTTCTCTTGCTAGGCGAGTCAGGCGTATCTTAGAAAAGACCAATTCTCAGAACCAATTACTTCTTTTCGGTCTCTCAAACCAGACGACCATATAGGATCTCTCTTTCAAGTGAACCCCCGTCCTGTCGCATTTTCCGTTTTTTTGGGTTACTTCCTCACTGGATGCGACCAGGGCAGCCAGGACAATGAGAACTGGCCTTGGTGCAGCTATGTCGGAGATTTCAGATCAGTTCCGAGGAAGTGTCTTAGAGAGATAACTAGTCTTTAACAGCCGCCTCGGCAAGTCTTAGTTTCAACCACGCGCCGCTTCACATACCTTTCACATCAAGACACAACAGTCATCCAGCAAAGCGACCACAATCTGTGGACACAAATGATGATGTTCGTAAAGTACACTCGTAAGCGATGATGACATGTGTGGGCTTGCTTGGTTTTTGTCCTGCAGCGCTGTGTTTCGTAGGTAGAGAACAGTCGTTCTAAGGCCATGATTCTGCTTGTATGTTAATAGGCACGTCCTGAAACACGATGAATGATTTCAGTCGATGCACGAAGGGCTAAGCCTGTGATACAAACTGACGTGCCAAACATCTATTAACTTAAGAAGGGATGTGCATGAAAGTGAAATAAATTCAAACAATTTACACTCAAAGTACTATAAATGAGTTTCTGAAGATTTAAGGCGGTTCCATCAAATAAGTATTATCCACGGAGATGATTTTTGAGGAGGTCGTAAGCGATCGTTTCAATGGTGAGGTCGTCATAATAGGAGTCCCACAAGGCGAGGTTGGAATGCTAATGTCCTTCCTACAGGATTTAATTGCACCATCGTTGAAATTAAGCTCATTATGGTGACTCAACTGCCGGCCAATAGTATAAACTTCAGGGCGTACCACATTGATGATATATGTATATGTCTTTCAGCTGTAGTACTTGTTTGGTGCCCAGCTGAGATGCCATCCGAAGGAAGCACGGGGGATGAGATACTGGCAGTTTACCAAACACTGAAGCTAGGCTGAAACCTCGGGCCTACCGATCAGTAAAATCAAACCCTAGCCACCGAGCCATCTCGGCTCTTATATATATATATGTATATATA